ACACACCCACACCCACACACCTACCAAAACAGGAACACCAGCACCGCCAGCACCACCAGCACTACAGGCCCCGCAACTCCCCGGACTCGCTCCCAGTTGAGGCGGTACCGCCAAATGCCCGCCACTTCGCCGTAAATCCATAAGAATACGGCGTACGACGTCAGGTACATCAGTACGGCCTGTAAGCGAGTTTCCGTGAAGTAAAATAGCAGCTTAACGTGGTTGTGTACGCGAAGATGTGCTGTTGAGATAAGGTGCAGGCGTTAATAATTGGCGGGAAGCCGCGTTGTACGCGACTATTCATTGATTCGTCGTGGCACCGTACGACGACGTACCGTGAAGTGGTACGACACAATCGGCAGGCGCGTGAGTACGACCTGCGCCAGTGCCAAGCCGCTATTCCCCGCGTGCCGCATATAGTTACTGGGGGTGTCGTACGGTATCTCTCGGGAAATCGCCACAAGGCCCACCTGGTGCCGTACAGCAGCAAAGAACCCTCAAAGAGAGGTAGTGCTCAGAGGGGTTGCGAGGGGCTTTACACACAAACACACACACGGGGGGACGTACAACGCTGAGGAAGAGCGAGCTGGGGGAGGTGCGTGGGAAAAGCGACAACCTACATACATACGCACGCCTACACACACATAAATACACACACACGCGCGCAGACACTCCCGCATTAAAGTCCACAGGACGTCATTCAGGTAAGACCCTGAATGGGCCCTGGTACGACGTGAGGCATTGCCGTACCCAGAAGAAGATGGTGAGGAATAGCGCCGAAACCACCGCCACCTCCATAGCCAGGCAGTGTGCCGTACTGAGCAGGTCCCACTGGTGGTGATGACGTGGTCATGGTGGTGGTGGTGTGGGGGGGTGGGGGTGGGGGGAGCTCGTAGTTATGTGTGTGTATGAGTATGTGCTATTGGTTTTGGCGGGGTGGGGGTTGGGGTGGGGCAAACCACAGCCATCTCCCCCTCCCCTCCCCTCCCCCCTTCTGACCACCACCTCCACCATCACCGCCACCACCACCGCCACCACACCACCACACCGACAACATTACACCGCAACTTCTTCAACTTAAACAGCTGCACACAGAACATCTGCAAAAACTAACTATATATTTGTAAGACACCTACTCTCTGATGGACACCGTTCCCAATACTTTGCCGTACTGTACGGCCCGTATGATCCGTACGAACGTGTTGCAGATGCAGGTCTCCAAGTGGTGTGCCAGCAGGGGGGCGGTCGTCCGGCTGGTTCGCGCCGGGCAGCTGCCCTGTCGGCGTCTTTCCATCCGCCACGGAAGTGCTGCTGCTACTGCTATCTCCGCCGCCGCCGCCGCCGCTACTGCTGCTACTGCTGCTGGTGCTGCTGCAATGGCCATGTGGGCTGTGCATCGGATGATACAGAGCACGTTGCTCTCCAATTTCGCCGCTGCCAGCTCTGCCGCCGCCGCCAGTGCCGTCGTACTCCATCTTGCGTCCCGCCGCCGCGGCGGCCGCCAGCGGCGGCCGAAATGCCGTCGCCCGTCGCAGCAGCAACAGCCGTGCCGCGGCGCTGCCGGCAGCGGCGGCCGCAGCCAGCGGCCCCGGCGGTGACGCAGCCGCCGCCTCCCGAACCGGCTCCCGTTGCCGTGCAGTAGTGGCGGCGGCGGCGGCGGCGGCGATGGACACGGCATGGGCTGCGGATGAGGCATTTCCGTCGTCCCCCTCCTCCCTCTCCCCCTCCCCCTCCCCCTCCTCCTTTCCCTCCGCCACCACTACCAAGACCCCCGTCAGCGGCGGCCCCGCGGGCTCCAGCCCAACCGCCTGCAGCCGCGCCGCCGCCCCCAGCGGCCCGTGAACCCCCTCCTCCTCCCCCACCGCCCCCTCCTGGTCAAAATCCCCGCCACCCCCCCCTCCACCTCCTCCACCTCCACCTCCTCCACCTCCTCCACCACCACCACCAGCAGCAGCAGCCCGGTACTCACCGGCGCCATACCGCACCGCCACGTCAACAGCTCTCCCC